ACCCGCAGGGCCAAAAATGTCTTCCTTCCCCATTGAGTTTCAAACCATCCCCCCTTGTCCTGTCCCAATAGGCCCTGTCAAAAAGCCTGTCCCCAGCTTTCTCCTCCACCCGTGTGAGCACTTGGGGCACACCCACTGCAGAGGCAGCCCCTGTCCCTGCTGAGAGCCCTCACCCCACGCACACCACCCACAGACCTCGCTGCCCGTGCCCAGCCCTCCCGTGCCCCCCATCCACCTCCAGCCCTGCCCGTGCAGCTTACATCACTGGCAACCATCCAGGTGACGGGGGGGTCCCGGGGGGTGGCAAAGGGCACGTCACAGCTCAGCATGAGGGGTTCATCCGCGTGGACCCACACGTCCTGCACTGGGAGGGGGGACAGGCACGTGGGTTCACACCCCTCCTGCACCCACAGGAGTGCTTGGTGGCCCCAGCACACATGCCCGCTTGTGAGAAATGAGGGTTGGCCCCAAAGCCCTGGGGGCACCCAGCCTGGGGTTGCACCAGGGAGGTTTAGGTTGGACATAAAGAAAAATGTCTTCCCCAAAAGGGCTGTCCAGGGCGGTGGTGGAGTCCCCATCCCTGGAGGGGTTTCCAAGCCCTGGAGATGTGCTGAGGGACATGGGTTAGGGGGTCACCTGGCAGTTGGGATTTGAAGATATTAAAAGTTTTTTCCAACCCAGATGGATCTGTGATGCCTGTGCCTCCCATGGCCCCATACCTGGGCAGTCCAGGGGAAATGGGCAGTCCACAAAGTCACAGGTGGCACACTGGAAGGTGCGGGCGGCCGGCTGGTACCCTGGGAAGGAGAGACATGGTGGTCCCAGGGGGCTGGGAGATGTACCAGGGGAGGGGGGGTGGCAAGACAGAGAGATGGGTACTCACCACAGGGTGGGATGCAGGCTGGAGCTGGTGAGAAAGAAGCAACATCAGACTGGGGACCATTGAGAATCCCCATACCTGTGATGAGCTGTCCGGGCTCATCCCTTGGCCAGCACAGAGGATGTCCCTGGAGGTTTCTTCAGGGTGGGAGTGCCCAGGGTGGGGGCCCCTGGTGTGTAGATGGCCCAGGGTGAAGGTCTCTGTGACCATCCCTTTGAGTCGAGGTCCCAAGGGTTCCCCAGGGTGGGAGTCCTTAGTGGATGTCCTCGCTGGCCTCTTACCTTCCTCCAGCTGGCTCAGCCTCACCCGGATCATGTTGACAGCTTCCTTCAGAGACACTTCAACAGGCTCTGGGGTGACCCAGATGTCCAGGTGAGACAATGTGCCCTCCCCCAACCCCCATCAACCTTCCCTGGACCCCACAGATCCCCTGTACGACTCACCTCGACCTCATATATCCATCCTGGAGTCCCATATATGCCCACACACTCCCTCAACCCCCCCAGAAGCTGCACACTTTGAAGCCCATACACCCTCCAAATATCCCCACAGAGCCCCCAGAACTCCCTACATCCCCTATTTCACCATACCCCTCCCACGCAAGGCCTCCACATCTCATCCTCCTGCCCCACATCCCAGCCTCACCCCCTCATATGTCCCACGTCCCCCACTCACTGAAGCCCTTCTGCTGCTCCAGAAAGCGCAGGGCGTCTATGACGATATCCCGAAGAGCCTCACGCTGCCCTGAGCCTGCAACCAGTACAGGGACTGGCACCAGCACCTGGCTGGGCTTGGAGACTGAGGAGTGGGAGGGTCCAATAAGTGCTGGGGGTTTCCAGGGGTTCCTGGGGTCCTGATCAAGGGTTTAGGGGTGCTGGGAAGGGTCAGGTACCCCTGGGGATTCATGAGGGTTTAGATAGGGCCAGGGGGTTTCATGGAGTCCTCAGTGTGTCCCTGTCAGGGCTGGGTGATTCTCAGGCTTCCAGGCAGGGTTGGGGTTCCCAGAGGTTGCTGGTGTGCAGGTCAGGACTGGGGAGACCTTGTCGTGGTTGGGAGCCCCCAGGGTGCATGTTTGGGGTGCCCCCCTGGGATTCCTGTTTCGGGTCTCCGACTGCCCATGATCCTGGCCAGTGTGAGGGTCTCGGCTGAAGTGGGGAACCCCAGAGTGCTCAGGGGTCTTGTTCAGGGTGGGGATCCCCATTGGGATGGAGATGCCAGTCAGGGTTGGGGTCTTTGGGCAGGGTCTGGGCCCCTGTGACGCACCCACAGCGACAGAGGCGAGTTGTGCAGCAGCCTGGGCAAGGGCCTGGAGGCAGTGCTGGTACTGGGGGTGCTTGGCAGGGGCCCTGGGGATGCCATGGCAGATCCTTGCCTGCTGAATGGGGGTCTCAAAGCAGAGCAGGCAGGGGTGCACCCCAGGGAGCAAGGAGGCCAGGACCACCCACTGCCACAGGCCAGCTGCCCCTGCCTGGATGTCTGGGTTTCCAGGAAGCCAGGCAACCAGCACCAGGGGCACCCACCACCACCCCATGGCCCTGAAGCAGAGCACCCCGTTGCCTGGGTCCCCACACAACACCCAGGTTCCTAGGCAGAGCCTGAGTGGCTGGTTCCTAGGAGACAGGGGAGTTCCTGGGTGCCTGGTTCCCCAGGAAACAGAGGGGTTCCTAGCCAGATTCCCCAATACCTGGGTCCCCTCCTGAGAGGAGCGGGGATACCCAGACACACGGGTGCCCTGGGGTGTGTGGGCTGGAGAAGGGGCTCCCAATCTCTCATTTTGGTCTCCTCAAATCCTCTGTCTCCAGTTCCTGCCAGTTACATTACTCATGTCTCCAAATCCCCTCTATTTGGATGTCTAATTCCTCATCTTCTCCCCCCTATAAGCCTGTCCCATCAATACCCTTTGTCCAGACTCTTGCAATTCCCAAATCTTCTTCCTTGAGACCTACACAAGGCTGCTCCTTTTCACTGCTCCGTTTGCCATCCCCCTGTGGCAAGCTGCTCCTGGGGGCACCTGCAGGGAGACACAGGGGTCACATGGGCAGAGCCACCAGCAGCACCACGCCCAGGCTCTGCCCCTTGCAGCCCCAGCCAGCCTCTGCCCCTTGCAGCCCCAGCAACGCCACCAGTGGTGGTTTAACCTCAGCTGGGAGCTGAACCCCAGCAGCTGCTGCCCACTGCCCCCCTCCACGTGGTAGGGGAGGAGAACTGAGAGGAAAAGAAAACAAAAAGCCCATGGGCTGAACAAAAAGAGGCAACAATAACCACACTAACACTAGTGAGATAATAGATCAAGTGATCTGAAGTGATAACAACCCGCTCAGCCCAGACGCAGCTCTCCCTGCTCCAGCCACAGGCTAAAGGCTGCACAACCCCCCCTGCTTGGGGCCAGCCCCTCCCCTTACCTCGGGGGCATGACGTCACACGGCATCGCCCATCCCATTGGCTGGTTCGGCTGCTTGTCCCGCCCAGCCGCACTGAGCATTAACCCTCTCCTGGCCGGCGTGTGGTGCTGTGCTCTGCTGTGCTCCCGGTGGGCTCCGCTCGGCCCCTGGCACCCCGCAATGGGCGGGACCCCAGCAGGGGACATCCACGTGGCCCTGGTCACAGACAGCGCTGGGCATGCAGAGGGCACCCCC